ACTGATGCCGGCTGCACAAAATATCAACGTTTTACCGCCCTGAAAAATCATCATTCTCACCAAAAAAAAAACACTTAACTCGCAATACACTATAATATTAATACTCTAGTACTAATCTTCCTTCTTGGATTGACCACTAAATAAATTTCAATGAAAGAAAACAATGTGAACAACAATAAGCCAGTTTCGTTTCAGCATTTCTCGTTCCAAAAGCTCTCAAAAAGCATCCAATCAAAACAACTCCCGAAGCTGTGGTCTCGTAAATATTCCCTTGCGCTTCGTCAGATTTACGCTGGAGATTTTGAATTTTTGGATCATTTTGATTGTCATTAGGTCTTCAAATACTCATTCATTGCACGCATTTCAAACGGTAATGCACTCAGAGGTTCTTCACCAGAATTCAAGCCTACATTCCAAGACTCACTTGGAATTGCTTTGCATTTAGTTTTCTCTTCTAAAACATTTGAAAAATATAAGAACATATTCGTTGGCGATACATTCGTGGTTTTTTTTTTCAACTTATTCTACTCCTCTGAAAGTACCTACTGGGTTTGGGAAGGGTGGACGCGGTACTTCACAGCCACGAAATGCCTCCCTCTCTTAACTGAAGTATACGTCACAAATTTGCTTTGACAATAACAATTCTAGTCATATTTTGAATAAGGAACTTGCTGTAATCTAATCGAATCTAATCCTAACGTTTCTTTGTTTTGGATCCCCAGTGTATTCCTATAGTTCAAATTCCTTCAGTATACATGTCAATCAGTTCATTTCACAAGACGAATTGACATGCTTGAAAAGAATTCAACATCAGTGATATCCCACTGAAAATTGTCCAGTAGGATAATGAATGTTGTTTACAGCAGAACGGAATGAGAAAGGATGAATGCACTGCCACAACATGTTGTTATGCAAGTGCTGTTGCCTGAGCAGCTGATGATCGTGATGATAAACTGACAAGCGAGATGACGAAAAATTGAAGCGTTGAGCCTTAACAATGACATCTGATACATGCGCATGATACGTTTTTGTGTGTAACTCTCAAACGAATTGAGCGATGAATACACTCATAAATGCACAATGAATGTGAGAAACCTTTGATCGGGTTGATTCAACGAAATCAGCAACTTTGACGAAATATTGCGTTATATTTGAGATAACATCGTCATCCAACGGTGTTCTGAGATATTCAATCCCTTGATATTGAGGATTACTTGGAATATTTGTTGCATCAATAACGCTTGTGATGCCCAGTTGATTCAACTTCTGAATTAGTAACCATAAATTCTTTCACAAATCAATATTCATTGGGGTGAAAAATTATGCTACAAATCCCCTTAATGAAAGCACGTGATATCATAGATACGAGATTCATCCAGAAATCCGAAAGGTACTAACAAATTAGACTAGCATATTGGCTTCT